AGCATGATGTGTTAATAATTGTATTTGGCCAAAAGAGGTGCAGTGGAAGTAACTGAATGAGACTGGACGAACAAAAGGTTGTGGTCAGAGAGGAGGGTGAGGACTTGGATTAGGGACATGGCCTTTGGAGGGGGCAGCTGAAGTGGAATGGAAGTGGAAGTCATTGGCGATCAGATGACGCTAAGGGGCTAAGTCACTGGTTCTCAAATGTGCTAGAAGACATTGTAGAAAGTGTGGAGACATTTGTTTTTTATTCTTAGAGTTACCTGGGAATGATCCTGGCATTTAGGTTTCAGGGGTCAAAGATGTTAGCATTTTGCCTAGCCCACGATACCCTTGTAGATAACAAAGAATTGTCCTGCCCAACACGTGCCTAATGCTCCCATTTAGAAATACTGGGTTAAGGTATTAGAAAAGCATACATTTTTCCTGCTGTAGACACAAAAATGGAGAATTACTACATCTCTAATACATATTTCTGATTTTGTGTGTAACAGGTAAAAGGATTGAGAGGGAAGAGGAGGAGGAAGAAGAGGAAGCCCTACCTTTAGATATGATGGATGAAGATGACTTACAGTTAATGAAGGATTTAGGACAAAGAGCATCTTTTCTAACGAGAGATCTTTCTTCTAGGTAATACTTCATTTAGATAATAATCATTCACATCCTTTCAGCGGTAAAAACTTGGTTCTGAATTTTACTTAGGTGGTTAGTGCAGAACTTCAGCTCTGAACACAATGTTTACAAAGAGTAAACCCTATTTATTATTCAGATTATTTCCTAAATAAAGGACGTTCATGAATAAAGCAAGCTGATTTTATTTAGTGAACATCTTTATTTCGTCTGAGTCTGAATAGTGAATGGGGAAGAATGCTATTCTTTGTTTGAGGAATTGGCAGAACATCCCCGAGTTCTTTATGGCCGTGATCTCAATCCTCCTTACTCTGTGAGGTGGGTATTATTCCCATTTACAGAGAGGAAACTGATGCTTCCCCGCAACGCGTAGATCTGAAATTTAAACTTAGATCTTTGTAACTCCTAAGTCCATGCTATGCTTTGAAAGTTTTGGGGAACGCAGTATAGCATGATGTCCCTGTTAGCTCTGTGGCATATTCTTCAAAAAGAATCTGCTGTAGCTTTCATCTTAATTTTGCGTCTAAAAGGAAAACTAGATATAGCCATAGTTTGAGTCTTTGTGATAGACTATAAAATTAATTTATTCATTTACTATTTAAGTGCTTGGTTTAGGTGCTAATATTTATATACCTAGTGAAGGTTTGGCTAGTGGTTAATTTTTCTGTGTTTTAAAAATGGTAGGTCTCTAAGTTCCTTTTTAAAATATTAAAACTGAAAATTAAATTTTTTTCTACAGTGAACCTGTTCACGCCAAGAAACGAAAGCATGAGAACATTATAGATAAATATGAAAAAATACCACGATCTCTGCAAACTGCACCAGAGAAGGAATTGATTCACTTGCTTCCTATCAAAGATAAAAGTGGTATAATCCCACAGACCAGGGAAAAGCCAGGTAAGTCAGTTACAATTTTAGCTCCTTAAAAATATCACATTTCTTTCCATAAAAATTTAATTTTGACTTTTACCTATATATACAAAATAGAAGTAGCTACAGTTAGTCATATAGCAAGCTGATGATTTTGGCCAGAAATACAGTTGATTATCTTAGGTGTCTATTGTACTGTGAGTATAACAGAAGCTATAAGGTTAAGGTGATTTTAGAGTATTTTAGCAAATTCTCTTGTTTCTAAAATTAGAGCATATTAGTCCTCCTTTATTAGCTTTTTTTTCGTATAAGAGTCTTTTTTCTTGTGAAATACAACACACAGAAAAATCCAGAAATCAAAGATGTGAAGTTACGTGGTTTATCACAAAAAACACACCCATAAAGCTACCATCTGGGCAAGAAACGAATACTGCCAGCACTCAGAAACTTCCCTTGTGCTCCCCTCAATCACTAATTGCTCCCTCCTCACAAAAATAACTACTTTCCTGAGTTTTATTTTAATCACTTCTATGCTTTTCTTGATAGTTTCACCACTTAAGTATATTACCACATTTTTAATATACATATTTTCCATAGTTCTTGACACTAACCAAGATGAAGAGGATCAAGAAGAGATGGAACTTGAGGAAGGTAATGGGATACATCTTTATAGTTGCTAAATTGTTAATTGAGAATTACATTTTTTGTATAATATAAGTGATGTAATATTAGGTAAAATCTGGAATGTGCATTTTGGAATACTGATTATTTCAAGGTCATTGTAAACATTTTTCACATTTCGAAAGTTTTATCTGGTGGAATTTGTTGCTTTTTATGCAAAAATTTATGCAATTAATATTTGTAATGTGTAGGCATGCATGAAGAGTAGGTTAATTGAACTGTTTTGAATTCTTTTTAATTGTAGGTGAAGGACCTGCCTACAAATAACTATTTTTTAAAAAAAATATATTTTATTGATTTTTTACAGAGAGGAAGGGAGAGAGATAGAGAGTTAGAAACATCGATGAGAGAGAAACATCAATCAGCTGCCTCCTGCACATCTCCTACTGGGGATGTGCACGCAACCCAGGTACATGCCCTTGACCGGAATCGAACCTGGGACCCTTCGGTCCGCAAGCCGACGCTCTATCCACTGAGCCAAACCGGTTTCGGCTACAAATAACTATTAACTATTTAGCTTTAAATTACAAAAATGATTCTGTGGTATGAAATTATTTTGGTTTGATTAAATGTGGGTTTCTAAAAGCTAGCGTAGTTCTATCTAAAGTTAAATGGAAAGAACATATTTTATTGTTTGAAATTATATTGCTTTGAAATTTGTGACAGAACAAGCTGGTTAAATTTTACTTCTGCTTCGCAAACCTCACTGATAGTGAAATGACATTGTAGGTCAGCTATTTTACGGTTTTTAGTCATTCTTCATAGTCTTGTTGCCGATTATACTTATGTGTTTATTAAATCCTAGTTCCCTATGAATTTCTTAATGTGAACATATTTTGTGTAGTTCAAAGGACTGAATAGAGTTGAAAACAAAGAATATTCTGTACTTTTTAAAACAACTGAATCAGATTGTCCTTCCCCTTAATTAATATGAATTCTTGTGGGTTTATTAGCATGGTCATTAATAATATGAGCTCTTGAGTCAGACTGCCTGGATTTGAATCCCATTTCTGCTAGGTTTATGAGGATAGGCCAGTTACTTTTCTTTTGCCTCAGTTTCCTGATCTATAAAATGGGGCTATTGATAGTACATGCCTTATGATTGTTGAGAGAATATGAAATGAGGTTCCTGGACATTTGTAAATAAAGGAATGTTTAAGAAGGAAAACTAATCTGTTACAGAGATTATTGAAGATCCTATTCGCGAGCTGACCATAGAAGAGCATTTAATTGAGAGAAAGAAGAAGCTACAGGAGAAGAAACTGCATATTGCAGCCTTGGCATCTGCCATATTATCAGACCCAGAAAGTAATGTAAGCACTTTTAATTTCTTTAGGTTCTTCACATCAGATATGGTCTAAATGTCTAGTATTTTAAGATTCTCTTATTACCTAAAGTACACACTAAAAGGAAAAGCATTAGCAAAACATAGTAACTGAGTTAGAATGAGAGAGAAGACAGAACCTTAGCCTAATTCTACATTTGAGCTTCATTTCTTCTGTAATCTCACTAAAGTTTCATAAATGCTCTGAGTCTCTAAATGAAGATACAGTGGAGCCTTGACTTACGAGTTTAATTCATTCATGACGGAGCTCGTAACTCAAATTACTCCTATGTCAAATCAATTTTCACCATTACAATGACACGTGGTGCTGGGCTGATGTGGCATTCACTGTGATGTTCGCTGCGCCAGCTAGCGGTGGGGTATCTGAAGCTGGCTCGTAACCCGAATTTTAGCTCGCAACTCAAAGCAAAAACATCGGCTGAGAGACGGCTCGTATCTCAAAAAACTCGTTAGTCGAGACACTCGTAAGTCAAGGCCCCACTGTATTGGATTTAATGTTGTAACTCAGAGTGGTAAGTCTATACAAAGTAATTATACTAGGGAGGAGGAACCTACTTGCAAATTTGTTTGACTGTAGAGTTTATAGTAAGAAACACGCACACAAAAGACAGAGTAGTTTAGGAATACTTATAAGTATAAAATGTTTAAGTGAAATGGATCAGAAAGTTATAATGAATTATCATTGGCCATGAGTACAGTAGTGAAGGTGATGATAGTTATAACTTGTTAACTCAAGAAATCCAAGGTGTAGTCTTGGCTCTTGTAAGTATGGTGTGTTAGAATTTGGGTAAGTTTTTTTGCCAAGATTCATTTTCTTCATCTCAAAAAGGGGGATGGTACCTATATTAAAACATTGTTGTGATGATTGAATGATATGATAGACATGAAGTTACATAAAGTGATACTATTATTTTTGTTATATTGGTGTCTCCAGCATCCTCCTATGACAAATACTTGTTTATTGGACAATAAAGTAGGTTATTTACATTTATAGAAAAAAATTCCTGTGGGGATGCTTTGGAGTAGTAATGGTCCTTTTCTAACAAAGCCTAGAGAACAGAACCAGGGAGCGGGATTTGGGATATTTCTGATCTGTATCATCTCATTTAATTATTGTCAAACCATGGAGACAAGAGCTATTGATCTCATCTTACAGCTGAAAAATAGAGCCTTTAAAACCAAGTGATTTCTTTCAGATTTTAACAGCCACTGGATTGGCACCCAGGTCTTCTAACTCTGGAGCCTCATGCTCTTTTCATAAAAGTTAGCGCAAGCAAATGGAGGTGACATACTTGTCCTGCTCCCTGCTATGGCGAGCATTGTTAATCAGCCAGTGTTGCTTCTCAAGATATCACTCCAGCAGGCAATAGTATTTCATCAAAGCAATGCGCACATTAGTTGAAATCAATTTTTTACTTCTGCGTTGCATCATACAGATATCGTTACATGAGTAACTCTGAAGCTTAATTACCTGTGGATGCATTGTACTAATTCCTGATTAACTTGTATATGTGTGATTATACAACATATGATTGGTGTATATATAACAATATTTCAAAAAGTATTTTTAGTGAAATAGGACACACTTGCATTAAGAAAATCCAATTAAGAAGATTTTCTTGAAACAGGTAAATTAACAAATTTAAACTGTTTTTTAAGTCTGTATTTTTTCTAACTACTTGTTTAACAAAAACATGGTTACTTTGTAACTTCAGTGACTTATCTGTCAGTAGTGGCAGTGTTGAGTTGTGTATGGCTTGACTAGACTCTTGGAGTAATTGTGTGAATTCTAGTTACTGGGCCAGATGTGGAACTATTGCTTTTGCTTTTGCTCACAATTGTTCTGTTATTATTTCTCTAGCCTGATGAGTAATTTCTTTTAACAGGTTAAAAAACTGAAAGAATTACGTTCCATGCTGATGGAACAGGATCCTGATGTGGCTGTTACTGTTCGAAAGCTTGTGGTCATTTCTCTGATGGAGTTATTTAAAGACATTACTCCTTCATATAAAATTCGGCCCCTAACAGAAGCAGAAAAATCTACCAAGGTATGCTAACTATAATTACTGTACTATCTACACTAATTGGTGTACGATGCTACCCTTTTCATTGGCTAATCAGAGCTATATGCACATTAACTGCCAACTCAGATGGCAGTTAACTGACAACAAAGATC